GCTATGTGTAAACATAAATAATCAACAATAAATAATGGGAAAGGAAAATAAAACATTAAAAATAAACTTAAGTGAGAAGGTAAAGATGTGAAATTATTCATATGGTCCAAAGCAGATATTTTAAGATTATGCAACGAAGAATTAAAAGGTATGTACATATTTCTATTTCTTAATTTTAAACATTTCATTGCACTGTACATTGATGATAATAGCTAAATTTATTGTAATGGTAGAGAAAATGGAATATAAACATTTACCTTAAAAACTTTTGATATTCATTCAGGAGATTTTAGAGATTATGCAAATAAAATATGAAAACTGTAAGGTAAAACATAATATTTTTATACTTAATATGAAAATCGCCTTGCAGTAGAAATAGTAGAAAAATTTAAAATGAAATATTTTACTTTTTCTGAAACTGCATACTTTTAGGAAAGTTCTTGTCAAATTCCAAACAATTTCATCCGCTAGTTATATTTTTTGAAAGAAATTTTCCAAGAGTTATGTAACCTATGTATAATGTACGTATATCATTCTGACTGGGTTAATTACACTTACTTATTTTATTCTTAATGCTGATTATTTATTTATTTATTATTATTATCATTTTATTTGAATTAACTATTGTTCACAAGAACTAAATAACCAGCAAGCTAGTCTTCTTGTTTCTGAAGCAGGTCAAGCAACCACAACATGAACAGGATAAAATATCATTAGTCATTCAAAGAAGCCATGAGTGAATGAAAAGGAGAGTATGGTATAATATGCTAACCATACTAAATGTACCAAAATTTTGTCTAGTAGTGGCTCAGTTTTCAACCTTACAGACCTTAACATTACATTAACAATATATATATTCGTGATGTCAGAAAAACACACAGGCTCAAGAAATATTAGTATGAAATGATAAAATCCTGTATCCTTTTGAACCTTTTGAAAGCACTTGGGTTGCTGGGTTATCATTATTTCATATATATATATATATATATATAAACCAGTTTGGGTTTAATTCCCCAAACAAACCAGCAGTTTTTGTTTGCTTTCATCAAATTTTGTGTTGAAACTTCTGCCACTTTTAATATAAGAACTTAATGTATCTTGATTTATTACTAATATTTTTGACTTTCTTACCACCCTAAACTTTTAACAAAACATCTCTGGATCACAATTTTCATGAAGAACTCCTTACAAATGTGTATTTTTTTCTTTGGCCTAAAAGTATTGTTTTATTTATAATTTTGAATTCAATAGATTTTTATCTTTGTTACACTTCCTAAATAAGTGTTTCTCAAAGCCTCCCCCGCCCGCAAACTTAGAACTAAAAAAAAGTGGCATACCACTAACTGCAGTGCTCAAAGCAAGAGTAAAAACACACAAACACCTGAAAATCAGACAGTGGTAAATAAAATGGCTTGCAATTGTATTCTCACTTTGTGTCACATTGAAATTGTTACTTTAACATATTTAGTTGTAACTTTTTATTTTATAGGCCAATCATAGAAAAGTTAACATTTTTGTGGCACACTGGCAACTGACTTGTGACACAGTAGTGTTTTTTGCCACATCCTTTGGGGAACAGATATTTTCAAATGTCATTTTTTTTATACATTATAAAAATGTGACCCAAAACCTAAGCATTGAGAGTGTGTAATTGAATAAAGGATGTAACTATCCATTATAAGTATGCAAATCTTATTATTTTTGTATGCATAGATAGTTTGTGTGCATGAGCAGATGTGTATGAATGTGTAATGCATACGTTTGTATAGAATATGAATAAATGCTGGTATTGATGTGTGAGTGTACATTGTATTGTAGAGTTCAGAAGTGTACAAGTTGACTTAATTTTTTGGATATTTGATTGACTCTTAAACTTGGTCTTGAACTGCAAAAAAATTTACATACTTATCTGCTTTCTTGCACTGAAAGGCCCGGCATGGCCAGGTGGTTAGGGCGCTTGACTCACAGTCTGTGGGTCGCGGGTTCGAATCCCCGTCACACCAAACATGCTCGCCCTTTCAGCCGTGGGGGCAATATAATGTGACGGTCAATCCCATTATTCGTTGGTAAAAGAGTAG